TCAGCCATAGAGAAGTAACACACAGTGAAATGAATATTGACTACAATGCTGGACTATAATCAAACTTGTTATGAGTCTAGAACTTGATTATTTCAACCTTTATAAAAGGATAACTATGCAATATGATAGAAATATTACGACAGTCAAATTACAATATGTAAGTGTATTACATTAACATGCTGTACACCTTAAATTCACACAATGTCTTATGTCAACATATTAAAAAAACATAAAAAAAAAAACCCTTAATATGTAAAAAAGAAAATTGCATTCTAGTTAAGAGCAAATGGGCATTGGCTCGGATAGCCTTGGTTTGAATTCTGGCTCTAGCATTGCTTAACACTGTCCCGGTTATTAGCTTCTGTGAGTTTCATTATCCTGGCTTATAAATAAGAATAAAACAATACCCTCCTCACAGCACTGTTAAGGGGCTTAATGAGAGAAATTCATGCATAGTGCTTAGCTCAATTGCCTGCATATAGCTGGGGTAAATAAATGTTGGCTATTAGTATTAAATACCTACATACATATATACAAGACAACACCTGATAGAAAGAGAATCTATATGCATCTCTTTCATGTCCAGAAAAAGAAATTATCCTATAAATTAAGAAAAATACTTACAGGAAAATGAGCAAAAAAACGAGCAATATACAAAAGATGAAAAAAAAGAGGAATGAGCTTATCAAAAGATACTCAAACTGTTAACACAGATTCTCCCTCATCAGTTTGATAAAATCAATAGTTTGGCAATACTGTTGGTGAAATATAAGGAAAGTACAATATGATTATACCTTAGTTAATTTGAAAATACACATGTTCACTCTCTACAAAACGTTGTGTGGAATCCTTAGAGAAAATATCGCACATGTACATGTAAAAGATCTTCTTTGTAGGAATATTTGTAATAGCAAATATTTGGAAATAATTTTGCATGAGATAAATAGGCAATAAATGTGGTATATGCTTATGAAAATCCTATACACAACTTCCATTGCAAATGGAATTCGTGTGAAATTCAAAAATTCCAATGAGAATCCTGTTGCTCCCTCACATAGTTTTTCCATTGTATCCTAAAAATTTGTAGAGGAAAAATAGTAAAAATGGTATGAAGATCTTTTAATAGGGATATATTATACTTGTGTTACCATAGTTAATATCCAATATTCTTTTGCCTAATAAAACATATGTTTCCTTGAGAGTATATCTACATACATGTGTTCTTACAACGCACTTGTATATGTGCACATGGGTGTTTGGATATGTATAAAATTTTACCCTGAAAAAAATTTTATATATAGCTATCCTCTTATTAAATTTTTTAAGCATTTTGTAAATCTTATTTTCCTCAGAAATCGAAATAGTGTTATTTTCCCCATGATTTTATTAACCGAATTTCAGAAGCTATGTAGCAGATGGAGCCTAAATTAAATATTGTACTTATAATATCTACATAAAATCATTTTAAAATGTCATTTATAATTTGAATATTTGCAAAAAGTATTTTAAGTTAAAATAATCTGAATTTTGTAGGAATATTCAGACCAAATGTGTCTATTTAAATGTGTAGATTAAAATTTGTACCTGAATAAAATAAAGGGTATTAAAGTGAAATACAAAATAGAAATCAGACCTGAGAATTCCCAGAGCAGACAAAAATCATTCAAGCCACATAAACACTTTAAAAACTAAATCTAGCCCTTTTCATGAATATAAATGAACCTTACCTTGGGATATTTCTTGTAAATGCCTCAGTTAATCATAAAAGAAACTTTTAAGTCATCATCTTAAAAATGGTATGAGATTATCACTTGTAACCAATCCCTTGTCACTGGCACCCCCATTGTAATGATTACTGTAAAAGTCAACAACTTCTTCACCTTTACTTTAGAAGCCATTCTGTACCTTCATGTCCCTGAGTTTTATACTAGTAAGTCCTTAAATTTGGGAATTCCCAGTTTAAAAACTGTTCTTATATTCTCAATAAACCTTTATTAAGTACTTTTTATTGATATGGTGGTTTTAATTTGGTTATTTCTGGATTTTTGGCATATGTAACAGGGGAAAGATAAAAAGGAAGCCTGATTTAACTCCTTATTAAGGGTCTATACAGTCACAGTAGTTTGCTCCAGGGAGCTAAGTTAAGCAGTAGAAATTCCCTACATATGATCAGTTTGAGTGATACAAGCTTTTAATTTTTTTTCCCATCACTTTATTATTAGCATTGTTCTATGACTCTAAACTTGAGGTTTTTTTGCAGTTGATTATCCAAAACATTTTAAGAATAAATCCTTAAGATGCACAGACTGATAATACTGAAATATTTTTCAATATACTGGTACTAAAGAGATAATTCATTCTCTTACCTTACCCTTTTCAGGCCCTCAGGACATGACTGAAACTCTGGTAACTCTAATATTAATTACCCAACTTTCAGTGTTCTTAAACTAAGTATCATGGATCCCCCAAATTTTAATGGTAGTATATGGTATATATTTGTGTTTGCCTTGGTTTGAGAGGGGTAAGGGAAGCAACCTCCAGGGTTGCTGGAGGGATTGGGGTGGGGGGGGGGATGGGCTAAATGGGCGATGGGCATTAAGGAGAGCACTTGTTGGGATGAGCCCTGGGCATTACATAGTGCTGATAGTGGCTTTTTCTCTTGTATGCTGTAGGCTTCCAGGCAGGTTTGGTTGGTTTCTTGGTTCGTTTTCTCCAGAAAGGGTTCCATAAAGTATTGCTAAATAGAATATATTGAAAACTGTTTGTTGACATATTGGATAAAGTGTTAGTATCCAAAATCTACAAAAACTTATCAAACTCAGCACCTAAAAAAACAAATAATCCAGTGAAGAAATGAGCAAAAGACACGAACAGACAGTTTTCCAAAGAAGACATCGAGGTGGCTGACAGACACATGAAAAGATTAACATCTCATCCTCAGGGAAATATGAATCAAAACCACAATGAGATACCACATAACACCTATCAGAATGGCTAAAATGAAGAATTCAGAAAACAACAGATGTTGACGAGGATGCAGAGAAAGGGGAACAGTTTTGCACTGCTGGTGGAAATGTAAACTGGTGTAGTCACTCTGGAAAACAGTATGGAGTTCCTAAAAAAGTTAAAAATAAAACTACTCTATGACCCAGCAATTGCACTACTAGATATTTATCCAGAGGATACAAAAATGCTGATTTGAAGGAGCACATGTACCCTATCAACAGCACCACTATCAACAACAGCCACATTATGGAAAGAGTCCAAACGTCCATTGACTGACGAATGGATAAAGAAGATACATACAGACACACACACACACAAGAGAATATTACTCAGTGATCAGAAAGAATGAAGTCTTGCCATTTACAACAACATGGATGGAACTAGAATATATTTGCTAAGCGAATTAAGTCATAGATAAATACCTGACTTCATCATGGAATTTATGAAACAAAACAGATGAACACAGGGAAAGGCAAGGAAAAATAAGATAAAAAGAAAGAGGCAAGCAAACCACAAGAGACTCTTAAATAGAATAAACTGAAGTTTGCTGGAGGGAATGGGGTGGGGGGGGGGAATGGGCTAAATGGGTGATGGGCCTTAAGGAGAGCACTTGTTGGGATGAGCCCTGGGCATTATTCTAAGTGATGAATCACTAAATTCTATTCCTGAAATCATTATTACAGTATATGTTAACTTGGATTTTAATAAAAATTTAAATTTAAAAAAAAACACAGAAAACTCTTTGGATAAAGAAGTTATTGTAAGCATAAATACCTAACTGGAGAAGTCACACATCTTTTTGTTTTCCAGAAATTGGATAATAGGGTCATTGAAAGACTCAAATATTATATAATTATTAACGAGTACTTTGATATAATGGTTTTGAAAATAGAGTGAAAATATCTACTCTGCAGAGTTTCCCCTTACTTCCTCCACTTAATTGTATAGACAGAGGCAGATAATATTCTTTGAGCTTTCACTGTTTGGAGTAGAAGACACTTAGAGTTATCCTGTACAGGGTACTTACTGATGTGGGTTGTACATATATATAGCAGTAGAAATGAATACAAGGGAACCATAATAAAATCGAAGAATTTCTGGGATAAAATTATTTTAGTTCTCTTCACTTTTTTAATCCATTAGTCATTTGGGCAGAATACATAATAAATGTACTTCCAGAATTGATGAGTTCTTAAATCTTAACATTAGTCCATGTCAAAAATGTTTTATTAACACGGTGAATTTCTTACAAAGGTGAAAAGCTCCTCTTTTTTTTCTTAATCTCTGGCATCTTTCAGTATGGTATGAAAATATTCATCCAGCTGCAAGCAGACATTAAGTACAGAATTTTGTGTTCATTCCTAAAATGTAAATTTCACTAAATTAAAATCCTACTAAATTTGTTAGTGTCTTTTATTATAATGTGCCTGTTTGCTTTTGTAAAATTTGTGATTAGATAACAAAAAAATTTCTTAGTGACACAATACGTGGTATTAATGTTTCTTTAAACAAAGTAATCTCTGAAACAGCATATTAGTTAGTAGTCAAGCAGAAGAAAGCTATGCACAGAAGCACTCATTGTGAATGGAGGTGGAGAGGGGAAGATCATGGTAAATGCATTCTAATTTTCTATGATTGCCAATGAAGCTTGTCCCTATGACTAGAACTAGTACATCTCTTCATGTATAACATGAAATGGCATAACTGATTGAGAGTCCATATAAATCATATGTGCTAAGAAAATGACAGTCCTGGAACTTAAGAACATTTAGAGTTAAACCTTCAAAATCTCACAATTTCAGGTTAGTTTTAAAATTAAGGCATATTCAAATACACAAAGAAGGGTAATTTTGTGTTGGATAATAAGTCCTATCTACCTCTGTGTACCGTTACAACTTAACCATTCTGGAACAGGACACATTGTGTTCAGATCCAGAAAAATTAATAGACTTTATTCGCATGTATTTGTACTGTTTCCTTGACAACTACTATAGATGCTGCTATCACCATGGGGATGGTTCTTCTAAATGAAGCAGCAACATCCAAGGGAGATGTTGGAAAAAGACGGAGTAAGTCTGTGTTACTATTTTTGTCGTTTTGTGTTAGTCTTAAGGTTCATTTAAATAAAATGGGAAATCTATAAATTTCTTAAAAAAAAGTTCTGATTTAAGTGTTTTGGGCATTTTGTTTATTTGTTTTTTACTTTATTTTTTGGATGTGTATGTGCAAACACTTAACAATAGATTTCTTCCAAAATGAGTTTGGGTGATTTTCTGTGGAATTGCATATAAAGGAAAGCTGTTCACCCTTGTCAGGGCAGCCCTGACCCATGTATACTGAAGCCGAGTGTCCTTAGTAATGACCACGCTACAGGGTGACACAAAAATTCTGTGGTCAGAGTCTAGAGATTTTATTGATTAAGGCTGTGCTCCCTTTACCCCCAAAATCAGGTATACATTCAAGGACTCCGTTTTCACGTAGGTGTTGTACACTGAACTATAAAACATTTCGATTACCTCCAAACTTCTTTTGATCAACATTTGAAAAAGGAGTGATCTGTTCATAGTATCTCTTCTAGGGCTTTGCCTTGTCCAGTAGTATTCCAAGATTTACAACTGTACCGATTTCCAGCACTACATTTCTAAGCAAGTTAACTATGTATTATTCTGTTTTTAATTCTTTGATAGAACTATTTCTTTCAGGGGGTTGTAGAAAAAAGTATTTTTATGAAGTAATAGATTTGGGCAAGACAAGAGAAGAACACAGGAGGAAAATCTACCCTCAGGACCATAGGTTAGGGATGAAGAGAGGACCTTAAATTTCCTGCCACAAACCTTTTTATAATTAGTATCAGGTTCCTATGTAATTTTATCATTAAACTTAAAATTGAAATTTTCCCCAATACTCTCTGCATTATTGGAACCTTTTAAACCCTGAATTTATAGGTATCTGAGAGGGACAATAATTTATTAAGTTTAAAATAAAAATCCAGACTTACTTTCTTCTTGTAAGTATCAGCTATGGTGATATGTATATAAATAAGTCAGAGTGATTTCTAAATAGTTGTCGTAAGTGTGAAAATATTTGGGATGTAATTTATTGTTTAGTCAGTACTTTGTTTTCCCATGGTTTACTGTTGTAAAGAAACTACCTAAAGACTTGAATGCATAAGCACTGTGCAGAATATCATTTTATGATATATCTTGCGAATAAACAATATGATGCTCTTGGAATTGACAAATAATGTTTGTCAATTATATATCCTGTATTATTAAAGTAGGTAATAGTAAGAAATTCATAAATTTTTAATCTTACAACATCTGTGAAACTGAGTTTATAAAATCACTACTTCCAACTTTCCTCTTGGTAGATACTTCTCTACATATCACTCCAGCTCCTAACACTGCAAATTATTTATTCACGTGTAATGTGAGAGAAAGAGACATGGGAAATAGATTTTACAATTATTCCTTTTTGATACATAATAATACAACCACTGTGATTATAATTGCTCAGATCGGAATGATTGTGTCATAGCATTTTCTTACGAATGTGTTACCTTGTCTGGGCTGCAGTGGTTTATTCAGTAATTACTACCTCCTCACTAGTACTCACTCGGTTCGGCTCCCTTCCCTCTATACAAGTACTTGAGTAACCCTATTTTGTTTGACTGCACAGAATCAAATAAATTTATTGTTTGACTTGATCATGAACTTTGAGCTTCATTTCCCATGGAGCATGACCAAAGTGGCAAAGGGAGTAAAAGGGTTTTATTTAGCTCCTAAAAATTAAAAAAAAAAAAAAAAAAAAAAAAAGGAAGGATGAAGTCTTTGATAAAAATACCCAATGTGGTCAGGTATAAAGTAGAGCATCAGGTAATTAATCCCGGTTAGTAACATTATTATAAGCAGGGACGTTAATACTGTTATATCTAGTGCCTGGTGTCGGTGATAGTTGGAGAGTCTACACATTTTTAAACAGGTGTTTTTTCATTTTGAGATATTCAGCAACCGGATTCTTTATTGTCTGCCATTATTCATTTGAAGTTCAACTGCATGAACTTTGTCTGAAATGAAATATCACAGAGGCTGCAATTGAATGCTGTTAAGCACTTATGACTTTCAGCAATTTGTACTCAAAACTGAATGACATTCCTGTAGAGGTGAATGAAAACTGACAGATTTCTAGACCATTTTTTGACAGTATCATACCTTATCTATTCCTTGATTTCCAGGATTGTAATTAAACATGGTCCCAGGCCTGCTGGAAGAATATTTTTAAATGTATTTTATCATTATGGAAGTATATAGAACTGCTAACTTTTCCTTGTTTTCCTGTCCCTTAGTGTGTTTCATTTCTTTACTCTTCTTTTGTAATTATTTCAGGGGTTTTTTTTCAGTATTTTCTAAGAATTACCTGAAACTAATGAAAGTATACAAGTTTTATACAAATGTTTGATTCTTAAGAAATGCTTAGATTTTTCTTAAAAGATAAATCCAATTTCTCTTTACTTATGGCATAGATTTAAATCAGTTTCAATTTTTTAAATGTACTTAAGTTTTTCTTTATTCTAAACATATCTGCATTTAATTGGCTTAGATTTTTAACAAGTATTTTAATTTTATGAACATATATTTTACTAATAGAAATAAATCTTGTTTAAATACCCAATATATTTGCATATGCACTTCCATTGTCTATAGGACATATACTTATTACTCTTTTAGAGTAAAAATCTTCCTAACCATAACAAAAAGAAAAAGAAACAAAAAAGTATTTTCCTTGTTGTCAGCTTGCCTGGTTTAAATTGATAGGGAAAACTTAGACCACAGCACATTTTACTGTAATAGTGGCCTTCTCTTCCTTTGTGAAAACAAACCACTCTTTGACACCATGACCTATAATGTGAGGGGATGTCCCCGCTTTGGCTTTCCAGAATCCACAGTACTTTGCTCCTGAAGGTTTTACTCCTAACTTTGTGTCCACTGGGATGACTATTTCTAAGTAATAGGCTTTCACCGAAGCAGTAATCTAGTCTATAATCTAAAATGACATTTCCTTGTAGATATTGCATGGCATCTGAGAAGAATAAAATTCTGTTTAGTATTCTGATAATGAAAATGTCTGTGCTCATATAGCCAATGCTTTATCATGCAGGGGCTGATAATCTTGTTTGTGGTTTTCACATATTTTGTTTTGTTTTGATCCCTCTGGGGCATTTTAGTACTTATAGGAACTCTATAAGAGAAGAAAACCACCAGAAGACTTAGATCAGTCACTTTTGTTGTTTTCATACCCCAAATAGTCCATTTTCATTGAGAAGAATGTGGAAAATAATGAATACATTGTATTTTGGATTATCTGGTTTGTTGTGCCTGTATGTGCCATGAACTATTAAAATGTAAGTATACTGATATTAATTGAATGCATTTAAAAAACATGCATTTGGGTTGCATGTGTCTAGACACTTAACGGCATTGTCTGTCTCTTTCTAGTCATTTGCCTAGTGGGATTAGGCCTGGTGGTCTTCTTCTTCAGTTTTCTACTTTCAATATTTCGTTCCAAATACCATGGCTATCCTTACAGGTAATATCATTATACTAATGTGCATGCTTTTGTTTTTAACTAGTAAACAGAATTTCAATGATTAATGCATATTTAGAGGCTAATATAAAATAGCTAACTCATTTGCCAAGTGACTTGAAACTCAGTTAAGCAAGTTTTTGAGCACCTACTATGTGTTCAGCTTAGACTTTGCAGAGGAGTTACTAGGCATGGGCCCTGTTCGCGGGCAGGGTATCGTTTCATTTTAGAGATACCTTTTACGTATGTATTATGTGTGTACATATAATGAGATGGGTTTAGCTTTGTGGAGTTCATCAGAATTTCTTTCTCTTGTTTTGTCTGTCCATCTGATCATTCACATGCAGACTCTCTGGCTTCCTCAGGTTCATGTAGGATACATGTTTCCTTCATTAGATTTACAGCATCTCTCAGAGCTAACAAAATACAGTATAGGGAAGCAATATGAAGCCGAAAAGATAGCAGTTTTACATTTGACAAGTGATACTCCTTTATTAGTCCAGCACATGGATTTATGCTATAGTTTTAGTCATGGTAGAAACTGCTTGGGGTTTTGTTTTATTGTACTTCCTCATTTTCCTTTTGAATACGCTTTTATTTTTTTCTCAGAAATTTTAATCAGTTGTCTTGTGAATGATCATGGCAATAAGCAGATGATAAACACCAAGAGCAAGTTTTGCTAAAAGGACTACAGAGATTACATGCCAGAGATTTGGACAAATCCTGAGCTACAGCCTGAAAATCTGACAGTCCAGGGGGAAAATATACATCTGTACAACTATTTCACTAGAGAAAAAGTCAAGGTGACGGCAGAAGCAAGAGTGAGAGAGGCAATAAATTAAAGAGTGAAAGACAGAAGTAATCCTAGGAAGAGTAGAAATGTAAGATGCTGACAAAGAAGTGAAAGAGATCTCCCCCCACTGAATTATTGTGTGTGAGAATCTTGGTCAGTTATGAACATGACGTAGCACCACGTTCTCAACCAGCTTCCATTCCCAGAAGCGTGTATCTGTTACACAAGCATCGTAGTACTTGATTAAAAAAAAAATCAACTTGCTCATCTCTACAAAGCAGTTTGTAAGGAATCAGAGTATAGATATAGGACACCATCATAATAGGGAAAGGAAAACCTGCAAAACATTCCCGAAGACATATGCTGTCCTGAGTACTTCTGAAACGACATTTGTGGATATCCATCTTCACAGACAGTTAGGCCCTACTATTAACCCTGGGGACCAAGGGCTAACTTAATGCCCTCATCTCTGGCAGACATACAGTGAAGGGGGCTTGCAAGAGTAAAGAAAAACGAGTTCTCATCCAAGACCATATCCTTGACTTTGAGATGAACTGCAAGGACAAATACACTTTCTCCCTTAAAAAGAATGAAAAAATTTCCCACCTCTGCCTACTTTAGATAATACCTTTACTGTGGATAAAACTGTGTAGCTATCCCTTAGTGAAAATGCACATTTGAACAGGACAGTATACACTCACTTAAAAATCACCTTTAGCCAGGGACCTTAGCTCAAGTTCTCACTTTTAATTAAAATTTCTGGGAATTACAACTTTTTTTTTTTACCAAAAAATACCACTGATAGTTTAAAGGTAATTCCAGACATAGTTCTGGATTTTTATCAGTTCCTCATAATTTTGAATTCTGTTTATTTTTTTAAATGTTTTATTTATTTTTGGGAGAGAGAGACAGCGTGAGCAGGGGAGGGTCAAAGAAAGAGGGAGACAGAGAATCCGAAGACTGGCTCCAGGCTCTGAGCTCTCAGCACAGAACCTGACGCGGGGCTCGAACCCACGAACCGTGAGGTAATGACCTGAGTCACCCAGGCGCCCCTGAATTCTGTTTAATCGACAGTCTTTAATTTCTTCTGTATGTTTTTTTATGTGTTTTATTTTTGTTTTTACTTTAATCGTAAGCATCACAGAACCTTAAACCTTTACACTCTTCATGCTATTTTCTCAGTACTTCACACTATTATCTTGGTTGATCTAACTTTTGAAGGGGATAAAATGCATGAAATATTTATCCTGTTTGCTTCAATCTGTCCCACATTTTAGTCTTAAGGTCCCCCCCCTCCCCCCACGCACACACACAGTATCTGTAGGTTTCACACTGTCATGAACTCTCCTAGATTCTCTGTGAGGTTTCAGTAAGCAAACTTCCTGGATTTAAATTCCTGATCAGTAACTAGCTGTGTGACCTTGGACAAGTTACTGGACTCCTCTAAACACTGGTTTTGTCATTTGTAAATGGAAAAATTTACATGCTTCCTAAGACCTTTGAAGGATTACATGAGAGAATGCATGTAAATTACTTAACACATTGCCGAGTCCATGGTAAATGCCATATAGTATTAATTACTCAATAATTGTTAGATGCTAATTAGTATCATTAATTCAGATGTAAATATTTCAAACTCATTTATATTTAATCTCCTTTCCTAAGCAGGATTTTCGTCACACTGAAGATTCAGTAATTGTTTTATATTTGCATGGTTCAGCTGAGTGAAGAACAGATTTTTCCCTGAACCTTTTGATGAACTTAATTGGACTCCTGAGTCCCTTGAAACTACCAGTGAAATATCAAGATTATTAAGAATTTGGTCTAATTACCATCTGAGCCATAGTTCAAAAAGGAAATTTTATTCCAGTGGTAGCACTGAATTCATTTTGTATATTAAATAAAGATTAACTTTAGGCTTGTCCCATCTTCAAAGAAAAGCAAAGAGCTAGTAGTGATACATGATAGTCCTCACTAATGAATAATTTCCCATTATTTGCCACTGACACACTTTGACCTACAAAAAATCAAAAAATTTCTATAAAAGTACTTATGACCCATGTCTGTACTTTAGTAAAAAAAAAAAAAAAAAAACATTCTCTATTAATTATCACTTTGCTTCCTGTTTATAAAACTCGTTAGAGCGAGTAGCAGAATGGACAAATAATATTTACAGTCAGAAGAGCAGAGTTCAAGTTCAAAATATAGTGTTGTAATTGAGAGCTTTAACTCCGCAATCATACAAAGTGGAGTCTGAATCTTAGATCCTGTCTTTCCTCACTTTAGTACTTAGAGTTAGTCACTTAAGTTCTAGGTCTTATTTTGCTTCATTTTGAAGATAGATAGTGTTTTAGTTTATGGGGTTTGGAGACAGGCTCAGTGGGTAGGTTTGTCTCATGTTATTTTTTTTTTAATTTTTTTTTATTTATTTCTAGGAGAGAGAGAGACAGCATGAGTAGGGGAGGGTCAGAGAGAGAGGGAGTCACAGATTCTGAAACAGGCTCCAGGCTCTGAGCTGGCAGTCAGCACAGAGCCTGAGGCGGGGCTCGAACCCACGAACCGCGAGATCACGACCTAAGCGAAAGTCTGACGCTTAACCGACTAAGCCACCCAGGCGCCCCTGTCTCATGTTATTTCTGTATCTTTTGCCAAGATACTTAATTTTGTTGAGCTTCTTTATTTGTAAACTTGGTATAACACCTACCTCAGAATTTTGTGGGGATAAATTATATAATTAGTTCATAGAGCCTGAAATGTAGTCTTTGTGATAAATATTATTTCACCTTTATAATAACTTCATCATTTTACCTCATTACGTTTTTGTTCAGCATTTTACTTCACTTTATTTTCCGCTAAGTATTCATACAGAACTGTTTTATGTATTTTCATTCTTTACTACTGTGGGGTATTTTAGAGAAAAGTCCTTGAAAATACCTTTTTTTGTATCTCCAAAGTGCTGTGCACATAGTAAGTGCTCATCATATTAGTTGAATGTTGAACTCAGAAACATATTGTAATTTATTCTTTATCCAAATGCAACAGAAATTGTTAAGATAGAAACGTAGTGGAAAAGAGAGTAGTGGTTTGCCTCATTGTACAACTCCAGAAGATCGAATTCACATCACATGACACCCCATGGAGTTGTCAGGGTATTCCCCACACCTAAAGGATGTATGGTGTGTGCGAAGATCATTATTACAGAAACCAGAGCTATTAAGATACTATTGCAAACTCAGATGGACTCTTAGCTGGCTGGCATCAAATAATAAAAATGTTATTCATTAAAATTGCATATAAAGGACATGGAAACCATCTTCTATTATTTTTAAAAAAATACTTGTATTTCCTGATGTCCTTGGCTATTTTGAGAGACAATGAATAACAAAAAATGGAAAGTACAGAAATAGCTAGAAATGAGCTATTCATATGAATTTTGAGAGAAGTATGATACTGAATAAGCATAGCAGGGCACAAAAATCCCAGAGTATATAGTATAGCAGTATCACGTTAATTTCTGTATCTTACATGTAGATCTTTCATCTGTAGAGAAAGTATTAAATAGAACCTTGAGCTGTACAAATAGAAAAATAATATCAAAATGGTGTGATCAGCCCACAATGCATAGAACTGATATGAATTTCACTGGGATTGTCTTTTTCCTGCCAAGTTCCAGCTTTGAAGAATGACCTAAGTGACCAGAAATTTAGAGAGGATTCGGGAAGAGCTCGAATGCTCAAGACGCACCATTATCTGGCCCTTCTCTTGTCTATATAAGGAATACAGTGCTAAATCTTGTAATAATACTGTGCAAATGGAAATTGAATCTTAAGGACTATTTTTTCCATATTGTTGTATTTCATTGTGGTGTATTGGAAAGTGATCTGGACTGAGTGAGAAGATATGATTTGGACCATGGCACTTTAAAACTGTAACCTCAGGCAAGTCTTTTAATCTTCTCTGAGCCTCAGTTTTCCTCATCTTTCAAATAAAGGCCATAATATTTATCTCATGAGTAAGACAAAGTTGTAGCAAACTCTTGTTTTACAAATGTAACATAACTTTTAACTGCAAGACCCCACATTCCAGTCTTGGGCTACTATACTTAGAGGCTTTACAGACAAGCCCTCAGATACAAATCTCAAGCAATAGACTCTGACCCGCGGAATTAACCATTTGACAAGCAGTATATTTTTAAAATACTCCTATACGT